ATTTCCATAAAAGTCAGTGGCTGAAACGCTTTCAGAAGGCAAAAATTCAAATTTTCAAATTCAAAAAAAATTTATATTTACACTTCTACTAATAATAGTAACATTTTAGCAAATATTTTATATCATCTTTTTTGTTAAGAGGTTTTTTCTGTAGACGAATATGAATTATCTCAGAGATCAGTCTTTTTCGCCACACAGGTTCGTTGTCAAGAATTGAGAAACACTCCAATCGAAATCGTGATTGAAATCGCGTTTATGAATGGCTATGACATTAGTTTTTGATTTCTTGTGTTAATCAATTCTCACACCAAGCATTCTCTTTGACTCACCCACATAACTAGCAAAACAATCCTTACAATTAATTTGATAAATACAATTTGTTTTCTCAGTCTTTTTAGTTGCATCTTTGCCTTTTCTTACGTTATTATTATTATTATTATTATTATTATTATTATTATTATTATTATTATTATTATTATTATTATTATTATTATTATTATTATTATTATTATTATTATTATTATTTATTTTTGGTATCACTACGGTGTCAAATTCGTGTAATAAATTTAATAACTTATAATAAATCTTTTCCGAAAAGGGCATAACAATTTTTTTAGCACCTGAATAGTGTGTTTTTTTACTATTGACATTTTGGTTTAAATTAATAGTTTGAAGTCGTTTTTTACATATTTTTCAATAATATCTAACGGATAAGCATTTTCTATTAGCAACTCCTTGACAATATCAATGTTTTTCTGATGAAACCTGACATTGGAAAGTTTAATTGCTCTTTCGATCAAATTATATATGTTTATAGACGTATATATATACCCATATATATACCTATATATATATATATGCATACTTGTAGGCATATACTCGAATAACAGCCAACCCTATATGCTTCTTACGTGAAGAATCGACGCCGCAAATTAATATTAAGGTATGATTGAAACTTGTATGCAAATTTATGTGTGTTTTATATAAAAAATTTGAATATTATAAAATTATATGTTAACTTTAACTCTTTCGTTCGGTATGCAAATTGTGTGTACGAGTGAGAGAGAAAGAGCGTGTTTGAACGTAGTCCGAAAGGATTAGTGTCAACTTTTGACGCTACGAGCGTTATCTTTAGTAATGTAATGTAAGATTGGGTTCTCTCGCAAACGACATGCCTCATCACCCCTATTTAAGGCGGGGGTGCGAGACCACCCAGTCAGTCGATCACTCACTTGCACTCGATGTTGATCCTCTCCTCTAACGAATAAAGTTCTTTGCAACTCAATTCACCAGAGTCTTTTTATCATTTTTGCCGAGCCTGAAGTGTTCCTCACCTCACTCGACGTTTTTGGGTCTTACTGTGTTCACAGTAAGTACTGTTTTACCCTTCTCCGGTATTACCGATACGGAAGAGTCCCTCTTCCGAAAATCGTAATCCGAGAAGACGCTGATAGGTGTCTCGCCTTGTCGTCCAACTGTACGGAAGAGTCCCTCTTCTGCAAGGTTTGACGACGAAGTGATACTCGTACGGTACGTACCCGTAGAGACGCGCTATACGGAAGAGCCACTCTTCCGAAAATAGTCGCCCCTGCGTGTGCACTCCAGAGCGAGTCGTCTCCCTGGGGTCCGCCGAATTAACGGAAGAGTCTCTCTTCCGCGATTCCGTACTACGGGAGACCACCTATCTAACCTCGTTTCGTCGTTCGTTACGGTACGGAAGAGCCTCTTTTCCGAGCCGCCGAGCGCATTTTTAGCCCCAAATAAAAAAACAAACTATTAGACCGCGCAGTCGCTAAGGGCGAAATTCGCTCGAGAAGTCTCTGCGTTGCGCGTAAATTACGGAAGAGTCCCTCTTCTGCGCTTACGCAACAACGTATGACCGGCCCTCGAGACGTGCCCGATCACCGGTAATATACAGAAGAGTCCCTCTTCTGCGTTGTTACCCGGTCACTACCTTTTTTTGCGTAACTATTTTCTTTTTACCCAAGTCGAATCAGATTTTCCTCGTTTCGCACCCTTTGACCGTGTCATCCACACCGTGACCGGTATCAATTTTATTTTCAGGAATGCAAGTTAAAATATCATCAACGTAGCGACAAAAAAATATTGGTGTAAAAGATAAAACATCTAAACACTCTTCTTCAAGATCACTCATAACAATATCAGCAAACAATCCCGAGATTGATGAACCCATAGGTGTTAGATATATCTTTAAACTATTAATTCAAAGCAAAATGTCAATAGTAAAAAAACACACTATTTAGGTGCTAAAAAAATTGTTATGCCTTTTTCGGAAAAAAAAATTGACCTAAATTTTGTGGGTAGCAGGAATTCTTTGTCAAATTTTGACGCCTAGGTCAAAACTGCCCTCAAAATTGACCTATATTAACGTAATGTGAGGCCGTTATTTATCCTCTTTTTGACCAACAGGTCAAAAAATAGGTCAAATTAGACATAGATTTTGACGTGATGTGAGACCGTTATTTATCCTCTTTTTGACCTATAGGTAAAAAAATAGGTCAATTTTGACATAAGTTTTGACGGCCCCTTTGGGATAGGGCGCCCTTACAGAATCTTGAAACAGCGGCGGCGGCGGTAAATAAATATGTAAATATGTAAATATGTATATATTTATGCAACGAGTTCATTGACTTCAAATTTACACGTGTATTAATTTGTTTAATTTCTATTCGCCTTTTAGTTTGTCAGTTGAGTTCGAAGAGTGATAATGCTCGTACCATGTCATTATAAATAATTTTTTTAATAATTTATTAACGGTAAACAAACAAAAAATTTATTTTTTTATGTATTTTTTATTTTGTGTTAATTTTGTTGGTATTTTTGTGACTCTTTTGTTTTATTTTTTTTGTTTGTAATTTATAATAAATTTTACAGTTTCTAAAGAGGACAGCTGTGCTGTCGAAACGTTAAAAAAAAGGTTTTTTTCTTTTTCCTTTTTTTATTATTTGACTTGGAGGATTAATAACTTCATTATATATATTAAATCATTATATTCTTTTAAACATATTGCGTAACTTACCTAATACAATAATTTTTACGTTTTGATGAAGTGTACATACACAAACGGTATGCATAATTGAAACTATAAATGACTTGGAAAATATAATTTTATTTACCTGGTTTCGATTCTAGCATCGTTAATATTTCAGATTTTTCTCAGAGAGACTTTGCGAAGTTCACCATATCTCTTGTTGCGTTAAGGGGACACCTAAGTGGAAAAATGACAAAAAATCGATTTTTTTAAATTTGATTTTCTAAAAGTAGACTCAATTAGGAATATAACAAGACTTTTTAAAACCTTTTCTGAAGAGTAGAAAAAATCTGATTACATGATTCTGAATACCATGAGTTTTTAGTACTTTTTCTTTTTTCGTGTCTCCTGTCAAAATTATTTTTTTCCAATTTTTTAACTTTCGGTACACTTTTCTCCGAATCTACTAAACCGATTTGTAATTTATTTTTTTACTTTGTTCAGTAAGGTTCCAAGAATACGAATAAGAAGTTTAACATCATTTTGAGTTGTACAAACGGAGATATGAGTCAATGAATCAGAGAAAATGGGATTTTTATTTTGCTTTGGGTATAAATATTTATAAAAAAGTTTCTATTGAAGATAACGTCGTATTACTTCTTATTCATATACTTGATTATATTTGTAATCGAATAAAAAATGGGCGAACGCAATTGGAATAATAGTTTTCGAGAAAAGTGTACCGAAAGTTGACTCTTTTTGCATTGTTTTTAGGTGACTTAGGTGTCCCCTTAATAACATTGCAAACTTTATATGTGCTCTAATCTTTAGGCAACAAAGTAAGGATTTGATTTTTTTCTTTATCGTAGTCACTTTATCGTGAAATTTTCTTTTAAGGCATCAATTAACTTCAAAAACTCTTGTAAACGTATTTGATCTTCAGACTCATCTTTTAAACCGAATGCAGTCAATAAATAGCTATTAACGCTACTAATTTTGTTTCCCAAATATTTTTGACTAGTTAAATTATGTTTAGGTACTAAAGACAGATTTAAAAATTGTCATTCATTATTGATAATAGGTATGTAGTTGTGAATCAATGCTTAGTTCAGAAAACTGGGTCGTTGGAATTTCTTGACTGAACAATGAATCCGTTTCTGCAAAATATGCAAATGAAAGTTGATTGCAAACAAGTGTCTTGACAGTAAAAGAATAAAAATTCGTAACATGCTTAATATCTGAAAGAGTTGGTACAGTTATTTTATGATCAATATCAATAGTCTCTTTGGGTCTAATTTGGTATCATCATTATCTATTTCAGACGATTATGTTTCTTTATTTGAAGACTTAATTTTTCTCGACAGGTTTGAGACTTTAATTTACCTCATTATATTTTTCAATAAAATTATAGACAATTGTAAACAAGGAACATATTAACAACAATTAAATATAAAAAAATCATTTTTCTTCTAATATTTTTTTTCTATACAGTTTATTTATCTTGAAACTTGAATTTAATTCTTATTATTTTTCAATAAAGTTATAAACAATTCTTGTAAACAAATGATTTATTTACAATAATATTATCACCGAATTGTCAGTTTTATAATTCATCAATCTTACAAATTGGCCTTTGTTACGTAATTGACCACCCGGACCACCCATCTAATGGATTTTCTCGACCGAGGAGAAGGAAACTGTAGAAATCCTCTCCTGAGTAAATCAAATTATTGACAGCCGAGTTCTAATCGTGTGTACAGAACAATAATAGACAGTGGACATTATTATACCTCGATGTCAAACCTCCCGCTTGATATATCTCGAAAGGTAGTTAGAAAACCCTAATCTATAGCGAGAGTCGAAACGCGGTCGCGAATCCAAGTACTAACCGTATTCAAGTGCGCTTAACCTCGATGATTGCAAACCACGGAGCCTTTCTACCGTGATGTGCCATCGGTAGTGTTAAAATGTATCAATCGAAGAATTTAATTTTTATATTTATTTTTAGATATATGTTGTGGACAGTGCAGACATAAAAAGGCTGGAAGAAACAGGGCAAGAACTTTGTGAACTTCTATTAGAAGATAAGTTACGCAACGTGCCTCTATTAGTTTATGCAAATAAACAAGACATTAGCCAGGCTGTAACTGCAGCTGAAATTGCAGAGGGATTAGGTTTACACAATATTAAGGATCGTGATTGGCAAATTCAGTCATGCATCGCAATAGAAGGGAAAGGAGTTAAGGTTCGTTTTTAAAATATTTTCTTTTTATTCGGCTTTATTATATATTGAAAAGTAAATGTTTATAGTAACTATTATATATTATATAATATTTATAGTAAGTATTTAAATCTTTACATTATACTTAGTATCTGTTAGAGTTTTTCGCTTAATTACAATTTAAAAATTAAGTGTAGCAAACTTCACTGATCTAAGTATTGCAAGTCGTGTTCGTTGACAATACGGACTTTTCGTATTGATAACGAAACAAATATATGCATTTGTATAATAACTGTGAGCATAATAAAGAAAATTTACATTCAATAAATAAAAAAGTAATTTTGTATTGTTTTCGAAAAGAATCATATGGGTGTAGATTCGATCAGAAAAAAGGGTTTCATTTTTTTTTGCAGTGTTGTCATTATATTTTGTGATTTACCTTCGTATAAAGTGGTCGATGTATCGACCATCTTTTGAGGTGGATGAAAACATGTAAAAACCCATCAGATTTGCTTGGAAATTAATAATAGGGCGTTTTTGGGAACGTTGATTACGAATCCGATATTGGATTTCAAAAATTCAAAATGGCGGATCATTAAGTCCGCCATTTTGATTCGACATTTTTATCGTCATATTGATGGCGGACGACTTTTAAAAAAAATGATCCAAATCACTTGAAACTTGTTACTCGGGGGTTTTTGGGGTCGCTGATTACGAATCTGCTGTTAGTTTTCAAAAATTCAAAATGACGGATCCAATGTAGCGGACGACTTTTTCAAAAAAAGATCCAAATCACTTGAAACTTGTTACTCGGGAGTTTTTGGGGTCGCTGATTACGAATCTGCTGTTAGTTTTCAAAAATTCAAAATGACGGATCCAATGTAGCGGACGACTTTTTCAAAAAAAGATCCAAATCACTTGAAACTTGTTACTCGGGGGTTTTTGGGGTCGCTGATTACGAATCTGCTGTTAGTTTTCAAAAATTCAAAATGACGGATCCAATGTAGCGGACGACTTTTTCAAAAAATGATTCAAATCACTACATGGGATCTTACGTGGGTTCTTATACAAAAACCTGTATAAAATCCCAGAGCCCACGTGAGAATCTACATGGAATCCCATGTAAAAGCACATGTATATTTGGGACACGATTTGGATTAGGAATTCATGTGGGAATTTGAGTTTGTGTATCTACATAAAAATCCACATGGATTCCTATGTGAGAATACATATAGGATTCCATAAAGGATTCCATAAAGTATTTCATATGGGATTTCATATGGGTTTTCATGTTACATGTATAAGATTTCACATAGGATTTCACAAAAGATTTGATATGTATCACATTAGGGATACATTGTGAGAATTTTCAAAGGATTAAAAATTATTTAATTAAAAATTAAATAATAAATTGTATTAGCATTTTAAGTCATCAGTAAAAAAAATTCGATAATTTGAAACACTTCTTCTGATTGTGAGCTATAAATTCTCAGTTATATAGTGTTCAAAAATCATGTTAACAGGGGGAGAAGTCGCTCTCGCCACCTGGCGGTGAAAGTGTATGAACTGTGGTATTCTGTATCATTAATAAAAAGAACGACGTGAGATCCTATGTAAGATCCCATGTAGAAAATTACATGGGAAATAACATACGATCTCACCTGGGAATTCATATAATTTTCATTCCTATGTTCAATCCTACGTAAGATACTATATTTTTTTAAACTAATAGCAGATTCGTAATCAGCAACCCTAAAAACTCCCGAGTAACAATTTTCAAATGATTTGGATCATTTTTTAAAAAAGTTTTCCGCCATATTGGATCCGCCATTTTGAATTTTTGAAAACTAATAGCAGATTCGTATTCAGCGACCCCAGAAACCCTATTTTCAATAGCGATTATAATGTTTTGTGTATTATCCTAATTGCGTGACTGAAAGGGTTAACCAAAATTATGCTTCACAAAATTTGTTGGTCTTTTTAAAAAATGACTGTCATTCCCGGTTGTGGACACCTTTATGTTCAGGAGGCTCTACCATCTGACAATGATGTGGACTACTGTCTCTTCTATCTAAACTTTCTGCTAAGGAAATTGACAGCCGCAAACTCCATTAAATGCGATGAATATAGTCGTTTAGTGCATTAGAAGTGCGTTATGATATGCGGGCCAGCTACTTCACATGCTAGCATTATGCTTCTGATAGCGATGAGCATAGTGTGAAAACGTGTCATCATTTTTGTTCTTTATCCTGGCAAAGTCTCTTAAAATAGGGAAACTTCCATTGCTTCTTTATTTGTGTTGGTTTCCTTTAAGATTTTTCCATTTTTAGCGGATTTTTCAAGTGTGCCCACAACCGGGTACAAAAATTTTTTGTCAAAAAATTTCCATTTTATTAAATTTCTAATAAAACTTTTTTATTTAAAGGAATCAATTTAATTCCTTCACTGACAGTTACCTTAGACATCTAGCTTTAAATTCGTACACATATATTTGTATAATATGCACATGGGCAAATGTTATGAGGCAAAAACAAAAGGGTGCCCACATCCGGAACACTTCCCTTACTTCTAAAAATGGTTAAAGTTTTTCTAACTTTAATTTATTATTTTTTGCCAATATTCTTTCATACATTATTTTAAATAATGCATTAGCATTTGAGTAGTGATCTAAAAATGTTTTGATTATCTCATCAATTTAAATGAAACTTTCTAGATATGTTTTTTGCTATATATATGTAAATATATGCCCGATTTTTGTATTCTTCTTTTTAAATATTTTTTTAATAACAATAAGTATTAAAAAAAACCATAAAATCGTAAATAATATTTTTTGTGCAACACCTGTAAGAAAAGCATTACTTTACATGCCTGTGAAGTAGGCGAAAAACAGGACTTTGTTGTACGAGTGTGGCAAAGTACTAAAAAGGATACTAAACAGAAGGGTTCGGAAAATATTAAGTTTTTTTGGTAATATTCAATTTCGTATTCGTTTTCAATTAGTGGAATACTTGTTTTTTACAGTAATATACACATAGAAAACCACGTATATTATGTGCCGTAACATACGTTCCAAACCCTGCTAAACAGTTCGTAGGTTGGTGTCAACTAGCATTTTCAAACAAATTTTTTACCAAAGCCAAAAGGTGTTGCACAAAGTACTGTGTGCAACACGTACGAAAGAAGATTTTCCGGCCTCGTGCAAATTGATGGCCTGGCTTCGCTCGGAGCAGCAAACTTCGCTTTCGTCGGAAAGAAGCTTCTTTCTGTACTTATTGCACAATATACTATTTTTTAAAGGGTTAGAGGAAGAAATTAACAATTGTACTTTTAATTATTTTTTTATTGAAAATTCAAATTTTTTTAAAATTAATTTTAGATGCTATAAATTTTAACTCTTCTCTTACTTTTTTACTATAAATATAATATGTACGGGAAACTGAATAGTCTATATATGTTTTTGGATTATTTTTTCTTTTCATTAATATAAATTTTAATAAAATAGTTATGAATAAAATGTACCTTCATATTATATGCTTTTTGAAATTCAATGGAAATTTGACAATTTTATGTAGGTACATATTATTTACTTTCATTGGCGTTAATGTATAAATTTTGGAGCCCTTTTACAAAGCGATATTTCCTAACACATGTTGAACTTTTGTTTTCACATTTTTAAAAATGTTGTAACCGTGAAAACGAACTGAGATTTGTTAATAATAATATTAATTGAAAGCAATTGGAAAAAAATAAATGCTCCACTTTTTAAAAATGACATCTGCATTGTGGCTCCCTATCAGGCCCTGAAAACTCCCAGATTATGCAATCCTCATCAGGGCCACATGACAAACAGGATTTAAATAGGTCAACTTCTACACAGGATGTAAAAATAATTAATTTTTAGTTTTTCTTTTGTACTTCAATATTTTAGTTTAAAAAAATAACAAAATACAGAAAAAACTATAAATTTCTAGTCCTAAATACAGTTTATTAAGGGGAGGGTATAGTATTTTAGCTTTTATTTTTTTAATTTTTTTATATTTTTTTATTTTAATCTACTATATTTCAAGAGTGTTGTGTGAAAATTTGAAGCAGATCCGAGCAAAACTGACGGATGATCCATCTTCGACTTACAGTGAACACCGCAAAATGGTTTTTTTGAAGGCGTCTTCGGAAATCGTGTGCCAATCAGTTCCTTCTCATCATATAGCTTTTTAATTTTGACTAAATTATCTTTAAATGATGTACTATAAATGTAAAATTTGTCCAGTACACTGGCTCTAACCAGAGCGCCAAAAAAAATCACAAAAACATGCCATTTTTTCACAGAATTAACTATACCCTCCCCTTAAAAAAGTTATAACAATTAATTGTTTAAACAATGTTTAATTGATTAATTTTAAATCTTTTATCATTAGTATATGTTTTATTCATGACAAATTTCACAATTGAGAAAAAACTAGAAAATTCCAACCCTAAGTACAGTTTATGAAAAAAATAATAACAATTAATTGTTTAAACAATTTAATAAATTTTTATACTTTTTTCATACATTAGAAACAATTAAGCATTATTTTAATAGGTTCTTTGATTAATTTTCTTAAAAAATAAAGCTAAAAAGAATATTAAATTAAAGGTAGAAGAAGTTAGCAATCTTTCCGAATCATTTCTCACTTAAAGCTTCATTACGATTTCATGTATATCGACAGCACAGCCGTCCTATTAATGTAATACAGAAACCTGCTTTTTTCGAAATTAAATATTAATTTCAAAATTATCAAAGAACTCAGAAAAACATGAGTTTTAAAAATTTTGAATAAATGCAAAGGACTTTTTGTTTTATTTTTTAGATTAATTAAATAAAAAAATATACAAATATTTTTGTTTAACCAATTTTCAGTCAACTCTAATTTCTAATAATGCTCTATGCTTTCTCTATACAGTGCAGTGCTATATGTATATAGCGTTGTAATATGTATTAGCATTGTAATAATGCCCTGAATTCTAATAATGATGGACATTGCTCGTAACATATATATTTTTTGTACATATTGCTTAGAACGTTGATCGAAAAATTGTTAAACGGGGGAAACACTTTAATATGTATAATATTTTAATATACAAGATGATTTAAAAATTGAAAAGGTTCTATTATTTTTAAAAATAAATTTATTTGTTTCAGGAAGGACTTGAGTGGGCATGCAGAAACATAAAAAAGAAATAAATTTCAATTGAAATATAAAAAACAATTTAAAATATGAAAATTGAAACACAAAATACTTTCATGTACACTTTTATTTTGTCTAATATGTACAAAAAATTCTACGATTATCTTATATTTATATTTATTATCGGCACCACGTTATGCCGAAGTAGTCATTTGACTTCCGTCCATTGTAATTGAGCAAGTTTACAACAAATAAATCTGTTTAAAAATTATTTTTCTAAACTTGACTTCTTAGACAATATAATTTATTTTAAATAAAAATCGTATTTAAAAATTTTCTCAAAAATAGATTTACTACGCTTGTTATATTACTTTTCAATTATTTTTTTTATTTAAATTTTAATGAAGTATATATTTTTTTACCTCGTATTTTGACAAATATTTATGAGATTTGTGCTTTCTGTAGCTAGAGACTATATAAATTAAAAATCAGGACAAAGAACAACGCATAAAAAGTACATAAATTGGTTCCCGATCAAATTTGTTAATATTTATTGGTTATATTTGTTCCAAATTACTTTAACTCAAACATAAATCTGAAATTCAAAACAAATTTGACCGGGAACTAAATTGTGTACTTTTTGTGCGAGGTCCTTTCGTAATTCAGCTAAGAATGATAATATTTTAAATCTTACCGAAGTTATTCACAAATAAATCTTATTAATTAGTACTTACTAATTAATCTAAACCGTCAATTAACGGTGATCTTGAGAGTCTACTGAATCAACTTATGTTTTAAATTTATGGATAACAGTATTTAAATCCAAACTATTCAATTTGAAAAATTAAATCTAATACAAAAATGAAGGATTGACTCTGCTTGAGTTACTGCGTAACCCAGGGCCTATAAATTACCGGTTGATATCTCTTCCATTGAAATCCAGATATTTACCCTTTCTGTTATATTTAAACATTTTAAATTTTCCCTTAATTATTTACAAACTAATATTGTCAGTCATCAGTAAGGTTACCTCACTCAGCGTTTTCTTGAAAATTTACTGTATTGACATTAGTTCGAAATTCAAGGAATATAGTCCAGGCTTTCGATCTCCAGCAGAGTTACTCTCCCGCTTTTTCAGTTTTAATTTTCTACAGAACTATAAGGTATATTAAATTGTCTAAAAGTTCGAGGTAAAATCGGGAATTCATTTTAGTGTTCGCAATTAGTTGATCACAAACACTTGATGATTATTAAATGACAGTCTTTCACATTTCAAGTAAACTTTTTACAATTCATTTAAAGCTCATTATGAGAATATTCTGTTGTCACTCGGAGCTCCTCTTCATGGAATGCTGAACAGTCGACAGGGTACTTTTCCTGTAATTGGTTAAATAATTAATAAATTTTAATTATATTTTTATAAATTATAATTATTTCAATTTTAAATTAATTTTTAATAATTTCAATTTAAAAGTAATTATTTTGAACTAAATTTTACACTAAGAAAAATGGATATTAAACTTTATTATCTAGATATTAATGATAAATATATGTGACAGTAAAATATGTAAACATCTTAGATGTTCAAATTTAATATCTACAGATATTGGAAAAAGACTTGTTCAAACATAACCTCACATTTACAGATTATACTTTTTAACATCTGAGATATTAAACCATAACATCTAGATGATATGCATTAGCATCTTTTTTTAATATCTAGTATATTAAGGTTTTTAATATCCACTTTTCTCAGTGTAGTCGTCTGAAATAAACAAATTCATTGTTTTATGTAAATATACTTACAGCGCAATTTTTATTTTCCACTATGGATCCGTAAAGCGACCAGAAATTAACACTGGCTCTATTACTAATTGCCCAAGCTGCTGGAAAGCTAGCGACTTTTGTTATTTGACTTCGCATTTGAGAGTTATTACCATCATCTTCACTGTTGTTGTTAATAGTACAAAGAATATGAGTGGCACAGTGTGGCATTTTTGTAGCCCATTTATAACCTCGATACGCCTGAAGTTTCAAATTAATGTTTAATTAAAATGACGAAAAGTAAGAATTATAATTAACAATATTCAAATACAAATAATAAATAAATTTATAAATAATATAGAGTAGAGTGGGGTGAAAAAGCCATGGTAAAAAAACCATTTGAGTTTTATACAAAATCTATTAAACCGATTTATCAGCCATTTAGATTATATGTAAATACTATTAGGTAATACGCAACTTTTAATTCTAGTTTGTATCTACAGTCTTATAAATAAACTACAGTCAATAATTTTATTGTAAAATTTAGTTTTAAGTTGCTTCGAATACAAAATTGTAGTTAACTCTTCGAACGTATTAATCAGGTATAAATTTTTTTAAATTGTTCATAATGTGTATGAAATAAGTTGTGTCAATGATAGAATATTTAAATAGTAACATTATTATCATATAAATAAATAAACAATTAGAAAAAATAAAAATTAATAACATCTACTGTTTAAATCACAAGGTGGCTTTTGAACTCCACTAGGTGGTGTAAAAAAGCCATTTGGAACACTTTCGTAGAACCCGTATAGCTCAGTCCTTTTATAATCTATAAACAATTTTTTAAAATGTTCTTTTAAGATAAATAACTAAACTTTCAGTACCAATTTGAATTTAAATAAAAAATAAAATTTTACCGATTTTGTAGCGTAAAAAGTAAAATAGTGGCTTTTTGACCCACCCTACTTTTTAAATTGTAATTATAATGCAATAATCGGTTGAACACGTGCATTTGCGCTCTAAACCTATTATTACTTTAACACATGCAGTTTTTAATTAACAATGTTTTAGAGAATTTTAGTACTTTTAGCAAAGGACCAATTATGTCATTGTTGATTGTGTTGCTGAGTTTATTACTCAGTTCTCTAGCGTTTATTCGTGAAACGATAAATCCTTTTTCTGAAGCAAGGTTCGTCAGTTCTTGAACATAAGCAACGGCTGGTTTTATATATTGACTGCTATCAACATTCATATGTAAATGTCTTTTAGCTACTGCATTTATTAATCTGAAAGATTTTGTTTTCTTAAATTAAATTAATTGTTGTTTATTAATTTTGTTATTTATATCAATGAAGGCTTTAGTTATTTACCTTCATTAAATAAAGTTAAAGTCAATTGAAAATTAAAATTTAGAAAAATGCGATATCACCAGACCTTGAAAGACTTTCAGCTGGCCTAGAAGGCTCGAACATTACTGACTTTGGAAAGCCTTGAGATTTAAGAAAGGTATTTCCTACAAATTGGATTGTTCCTAGGTATCGCTGCTGTGTTACTGGATCTGCAACGTGAGAAATTGACTCGGCAACGAAATTCGTAAATGATTTCACCCATCGTCTTCGCAATTGTGGATTTTCGAAACTGTCCAAAATCCTCTCATATTGTAGATGACCCTTAGAATCTGTCATTTGACCGACTATATTTGCCAATCCACTATTTTTCCACAATGTTCGACCTAATTCAGAATTACTGAAAAATTAATTTATAAAATTTTAAAGGTATATATTTCTGACTTACATTTATTTTAAGGTACTACTACACTTTTGAATTTAAAAAAATTTTGTTTTTTTTATTGTATTTTTTAACTCCTTATGACTTCAGAAAACACCTCCTAAAGTATTTATAACCAATTGTAAAAAATAAAAGTAAGTTTTTCAAAAAATATTCAATTAATGTAAAAAGTCATTGACAAATTAAGAAAGTCTTTAAGGGGATGGCGGGGTCCAGCTTTTTGTTACAACCACTAGAAACATTGGTGCTAATGTATGTAACAGTGTCTGACGTCAAAAAAATGGTGGGGTTTCAATTTGCAAAAGAATTTTAGGTAATAGGCCAATCGTTGGGTCGAAAAAGTACACATAAATGCTAGCAGCAAAGTCTAAATGGTTTCTTGTAGTTTGCGGGCACCATATAAGAGCCCAATAGTTTGCTCTCGATTCTCAGTTGCGAAAAAGGTTATAAATAATTGTCAAAGTTTGAAAAACGTGGTTTTTTGATTCCCGTTGCTTCCGGTTACATTTTAGAGAAAAAAGTTGTTATTGAAAGTTGTAGAGCTTGAAAATAGCTTTTAAATGATTGATCATAAGTTAAAAAATGTTAATTAGTTTATTTGCAAATGAAATTAAACCATTAAAAATAGCACTTTTTTAATTGTTTAATAACTTTGTTAATAATTATCGAATTTATTTCTAACTTACCAGAAATATTCTCCTTGCGAAGCTGAATAAAACACAAAAAAATTCAACTCGATCGGATAATTAGTTTATGCATAATTCCGTTTGTTAACTAAAAACATGTAATTTTTAACAGAATTTCCAAATTTTTGGCCAGGCGGATTTCGTTTTTTTTTCTTGGAGAGTACAGTTAAGGAGTCAAACTTTTATTCCATTTAAATGGGAAATTGATTTTTTTAATCTAAGTGCATAATAATAGACGTTAAAAAAAGTATGTTTTTTTAACATAAACAAATGGAATAACTCGGCCAATTTTCACTTTATCGATTTAGTGTAAAGGGCATTTAATTTCACTTGTTTTCACAAAACCTTTCCAAAAAAAATCCAATCTAACTTCAAGGGGGGGGAGTTAGTTTTTTCTTTTTAAAAAATTCCTGACTAGTTAATTATTATTATTTTTAATTGAAATTCGCACCACTTATAGTTAAATACTTGTATTTTATGAAAAAAATTGATTATACGGATTTGTCCTTTTATTTTGCATTTATATCAAGTGAAATTATATGCATAGTTTTTTCTACCTTTGGACGGCGGAGTGGGGGAACCGGTGGCGCGTGATTCTCGCCCGCCACAAAACAGAATTCAGCCGTTCAAATTTGCAAAAATGGTCATAACTTCGTTAATTATGGACCGATTTTAATCTTTCTTTTTTTAATTTGATCTACTTTTCAACACTGAACCCAAAAATGAATTTGCATTTTTTGTAAATAAAATATTTTTTATACTAATAAGAAAAAAAAATTTTTTAACAACAAATTATTATTCTTATTTTTTATATTTAACAAAAAATTTTCTTTGTGCAAATTATTCCATTTAATTTAAAATAATATTATATAAAAAAAATCTAAAATTATTTATCTGTAAGCGTGTAGCATCGAGTGTAAGCGTAAGGCACGCCGATTTATTATTTACACGTGGAGGTGCCGATGTTTGGGGTCCTACAAAGGTATTTAATAAAAAAAAATAATCATTATATAATATTGTTAACCAAAGAAAATGATTATTTTACTACTACAATGCTTACACTCGATGCTACACGCTTACAGGTAAATAATTTAGGATTTTTTTTATATAATATTATTTAAAATTAAATGGAATAATATGTACAAAGAAAATTTTTGATAAATATAAAAAATAAGAATAATAATTTGTTGTTAAAAAAATTTTTTCTTATTAGTATAAAAAATATTTTATTTACAAAAAATGAAAATTCATTTATGGGTTCAGTGTTGAAAAGTAGATCAAATTAAAAAAAGAAAGATTAAAATCGGTCAAAAATTAACGAAGTTATGACCATTTTTGCAAATTTGAACGGCTGAATTCTGTTTTGTGGCGGGCGAGAATCACGCGCCACCGGTTCCCCCACTCCGCCGTCCAAAGGTAGAAAAAACTATGCATATACTTTCACTTGATATAAATGCAAAATAAAAGGACAAATCCGTATAATCAATTTTTTTTCATAAAATACAAGTATTTAACTATAAGTGGTGCGAATTTCAATTAAAAATAATAATAATTAACTAGTCAGGAATTTTTTAAAAAGAAAAAACTAACTCCCCCCCCTTGAAGTTAGATTGGATTTTTTTTGGAAAGGTTTTGTGAAAACAAGTGAAATTAAATGCCTTTTACACACGGAAAAAAAATCAGCCTAATAATGCATGGAGTCTATTATTTCGATTTTTACATGAGCCCATTTTGCAAATATCACACAGGAGTTTACTAAAAATGCATGGCTTTTGTGACTTTTGCCACAGCACCATGCGAAAATAGGATGGATTCCAAGCTAATCACGCATGGTAGTGTGCGTGCAATATACACAACAGACGCTCATGTGTTTTTAGCCTAGTATTTTTTTCCGTGCACTAAATCGATAAAGTGAAAATTGGCCGAGTTATTCCATTTGTTTATGTTAAAAAAACATACTTTTTTTTAACGTCTATTATTATGCACTTAGATTAAAAAAATCAATTTCCCATTTAAATGGAATGAAAGTTTGACTCCTCAACTGTACTCTCCAAGAAAAAAAACGAAATCCGCCTGGCAAAAAATTTGAATTTTATTTGGTTTTATTCAGCTTCGCAAGAAGAATATTTCTGGTAAGTTAGAAACAAATTCGATAATTATTAACAAAGTTATTAAACAATTAAAAAAGTGCTATTTTTAATGGTTTAAATTTATTTGCAAATAAACTAATTAACATTTTTTAAGTTATGACCAATCATTTAAAAGCTATTTTCAAGCTCTACAACTTTTAATCACAACTTTTTTCTCTAAAATGTAACCGGAAGCAACGGGAATCAAAAAACCACGTTTTTTAAACTTTGACAATTATTTATAACCTTTTTCGCAACTGAGAATCGAGAGCAAACTTTTGGGCCCTTATATGGGGCCCGCAAACTACAAGAAACCATTTAGAGTTTGCTGCTAGCAAAAAAATATATTATATATATATTATGTGTACTTTTTCGACCCAACGACTGGCCTATAATTTATAGATGGCCTCTAACGATAAATTTATAAGTTTAAACGCGTTTTTCTCAAAATAACGTTTTCTCAAATTGCGGACAGTTTATCTCTGAATCTACTAAACCGATTTTATTAATGATAACTCGTTTTGTTTTTTAGCATGTCCTGTGTGACAATTTACCAGAAAATAGTCAAAAAATTTAAAAAAAACATTTTTGCAGACTAGAAAAAATACTGAAAAACATAGTGTATTTTTAAACAAATTATTGAAACATCTGCTATTTTTTTATTTTAGTCATTTTTTCATTATTGGTGGTAGATTTCTATGCAAGACACCTTCCTTTTTAAAAAGCAATTTGGATTTTTTGTTTCCGATTTGTCAATCTTGAGATAAACTGTCCGCAATTGAACAACTAACTTTTTGGAGTTTCGATCTGAATGCTGTCTGCAGATTATGATATTAAATAAAAATTAAAAACAAACCATTATTTTTATTCTCCAAATATGTACTTATATAGGCAAACAAGTTTTTTAAATATTTATAATAAAAGATCTGAGAAAAAAATTTTAAATTTGGTCTTTTAAGAGCCTTCTAAAGTGTAGTAGTACCTTAATATTATCTATAATTTAAACGCGTCTTTTATTACAGTTTTGCTTCCTCATGAGAAAGCTTTGCATTTGTGACGATTTTCAATTTTTCAAAAGATGGTTATATGGATTCATTTTCATATACAATATATGTAAGTAGGGGAGATTAGGTGAAGTTGTTACAATTTTGATAAAATCAGTTACAGTGATTAGAGTTTAACTCCAATTTGTTTGGTCAAACGATTAAATCAAAGACGTATATTATCTAGCTTTAAAAGGTCATAATTGATTTAGCTCTATATTTATTATTTAATTAACTAGAAGCATTTAAGTGACAGCATGTAAATTGTAACAACTGCACAAAGTGAATGTCGGTTGTTACAATACCAAGAATCATCTATAACATTTCTAAATTGAAGACAAATAATTTCTTATAACAAATTTTATTAATTATTCATAATTTTTGACTCAGCGTAATAGTTCGTGACAGTGTCATAGAGATGGCAGCACTAATATTGTTTCGAATTTAAAAAAAAAATATCCGTTCTCATCATCACTTGTAACAACTGTACAACAGGTACATTTTTTGTAAAAAATCACTTTATTAAAAAAGTATACACTAAATGTGGACAACCAAGGCAATTTGTTAAAGCTATATCCTTATACAATTAATATTAAAAAATTTTTTTTGTTAAGTATAAAGGTCTATTTAGTCATTTAAAAAATTTTTTACTTGTAAAGCTTGCATATAATTTTTAAATATATTGTAACAAGTTCGTACATAAAAACTAAACATTTTTTACTTTGGAACCCCATCGCTATAATTAACTGTTTCTGATATATTAAATGTTTATATTTCAGCAAATATTCGTAAAACAGTTTAAAAATTATATTCACGTCATGAGCTTTTGTTGCTGTCCCAGGAAGAAATTTGTTCATCATAATGAGAAAGCTAAATGATGATAAAATGGACTTGTAAAAAGAATAGTTATTTATAAATGGTCATGAAATGAATAACTTGTTTGATTTCTTTTTAATTGACTGAAATAAAAACAAAAACCATTATTTTATGGTTTTCGCCATAAAGATGAGCTAGTTGCTTATTTTATTGCGAGTTACGTAATTAGCACACAAAATTACGATAGTATAGTAAATTCCAAAAACATTGACGGTTTAGACTCTCCAGAAGAATGTTCAGATTTTTGAAAAAAGGAAATAAAACTATTGAATCTATAACACGCATATTTATATACATTCATAAGCAAATGTAATTAACTTACTGTGTTATATAGTTGATTTAATGGCAGTACAGTAGAAAGAGAAACTCACTTTTTTAATAAAATTATGGTCTTATAAGTAAGATTTATACCAAACTAATTTCATGCACCCATAAATCAGGTGGTGCTCTAAGTGCTAAATTTGAATTTATTGAATTTTTAATTTTTATTTCCGACATATTGATAACATCATTTTGATACTAGAAACTCCTAAGTATAATGTTTTATTGAAATGTACTGAATTTTTACATTGTTAGTACATTGTTTATAAAAAATAAAGTTTACAATCTAATTAAAAAATCCGTACGTACGTCCAAAGGTAATAGTATATAGATTATGAAATTTCTTGGTTTTTTGTTCCAGGTCTTATACTTTTCAAGAAAACAGTCCTCCCATTTTGGTAATAAAAAAATTGTTGATTTGAATATAACGTCTGTCGACGCCATTTTGTAGTAAAATTTAAATACAGAATTTTTTTTGACACTTCAATATGTATTTAATAAACCCTCTAAAAAGAAATTCTATTCCTTTTTTCATTTTCCAAAAATAAATCATCAAATATAGGTCTTTTTTGCCACTAGAGTAGTGTTACCCCTTAAAAATTAAAAAATATTATAATGAGGAAATTATGTTAAAAAGTATAAAAAACTATTACAACTCTAATTGAAGTAAGTAACAGTTTAACATTTTTTTATCAGCTAATACGGAATTCCGTACGAAATTTCCGTAGAATCGTTTTACGTGAGTGTTATTTACATTTGTTTCTTGCACCTCTAGTTATAAACACAACTGCCACTCTGTGGTGCTCCAAAGAAGTTTAATTTAAATATATGTAATGGATCATACAACTCCCCAAATTAATCCCCTTAGAACGAAAATATATATTTACCTGAAGTGATCCCACATGATATGAAAGTTCTCTAAAATTGGTGGTACCCACCAAGAATGGTCAGAGTGATCGTGCTTTTTTTTATTATCATAGGAGTTATCTGAGGAAAGAGAATCCAAGACCATGGGAAAAATCCCCATTAGTCCATCTGCATTGCTTCCTTGACTGATAAACATATTTGCAACATTTAATATAGACTCGAAATTCATTGTAGATTCGTCCTTATGAATTTCGTTCGTGTGTTCCTTATCATTCATTGACGAAGATACTGTTTGGAGAATCGAATTTAAATCAACTCCTCCGTCTTGTTTGTTTCCAGATAGAAGGTGTCCTATTCCAGAAAGAATCTCACCTACTGCGTCATTTTTTGATTTTTCGTTTCCTAGTATATCACCGACCTGTATAAAATGTGTTTTATAATATATCTTACACCAAGAGGTATAACAAAGGAATCGTATATATATAATATATATATTTACTTAAAAAATTTGTTTATTATTGTGAGCATGAACAAAAAATATTTTTATGCATTTACTTGTTTTCCAGCATCTGACTGCATAAACGCGTTCGCCACACCCTGGAAACCACCAATAGCATCATTATTAGAGCCTGAAAATAAGGCCCGAGCAGCTTCCATGAATGCTTCTGAAGCATCTGCATTATTTTCCTTCTCGCAGTAGGTCAATCCAAAAAGTACGATAAAAATCGTAATTCCCTGGATCCTCATCTTTTGATTTCTAAAAAAAAGATACATTTGTATTTAATTTTTTAACTTGAGTTTAAAGGGAGAAACTCGTGTAAAATGAAATTTTTTTCTTTGCTTTAAAAATTAGTTTAGCATCTGGGGCAAAATTTCTCAAGTGTACCAATGTCAAAATTGCAAGTTGTTGTATCGGGCTAATATTTTCACAGTATTTAGTACTATGTATGAGTACTTCAACCACCAAGTATTATGAAATTTTATAACAAATTGTAGAGGGGGGAGGGGGTTGAAGATTTTGGATAAGTATGAACAGTGAGTTTTCTAAAAAATCGTAGCTTTTATATAATAAAGCAAAAAAAATTTTTGACCTACATGTTTTTAGTAGGTTTTTTTACGCTCTTTCAAATGGTGAAAATTTTTTTTAAAAATTTTCAAAATTTAACCATTTTTTTTGAAAATTAAAAATTTTTTTGATTTTTTTCTCAAGAAGGACCCTTTTTTTTTCTTTTTTTTTGTACCAAAAGAAAGCTTAAGATGTGTACTTTCAATAACTAAAACGAAAATAATGACGTTTTTTTGTTTTTGAATTATTAATTAATTAATTAATAAAAATTAATAAAAATTGAAATATTTTACAACAAAATAAAGTTAACGCAATTCTGAAGTTACTACTGTAAAGCACTACAAAATCCGCATCCAACGAGTCCAATATGAAATATTTTGGATAAATTGACGTTTTATAAATAAATATTTATAAAAATTAATTAACAAATGAATATCATTTATAAAAATAATGATAAAGTGTTAGTTTTTTTTATACAAATGTTTATACAATTCTACTTTTAAAAAAATGTATTCCAGTTATTTTCAACAATTGTTTAAATAAAATATTCAACACCTTATGCGTGTGTTCCGCTATATTACTATCTTCCCGGCTTAATATTATTTGACATTTTCGAAAGAATATTTTTTACATTTTTAATGTAAGAAAAGATGGTTTCTTTTTTACATTAATAATTTTTTATTATTTTAATATCAACAAGAAATTTTTACGTAATTCCTAATAAATTAATTACAAAATAATCTAATAATAATAAATAATATTAAAATAATAAAAAATTATTAATGTAAAAAAGAAATAATCTTTTCTTACATCAAAAATGTAAAAAATAAAAAAATATTCTATAAAAAATGTGAAATAATATTAAGCCGGGAAGATAGTTATGCAGCGCAACACACGCATAAGGTGATGAATATTTTATTTAAACAATTGTTGCAAATAACTGGAATACATTGTTTTAAAAGTAGAATTGTATAAACATTTGTGTAAAAAAAACTAAAACTTTATCTTTATTTTTGTAAATGATATTCATTTGTTAATTAATTTTTATAAATATTTATTTATAAAACGTCAATTTATCCAAAATATTTCATATTGGACTCGTTGGATGCGGATTTTGTAGTGCTTTACAGTAGTAACTTCAGAATTGCGTTAACTTTATTTTGTTGTAAAATATTTCAATTTTTATTAATTCTTATTAATTAATTAATTAATAATTCGAAAACAAAAAAAAACGTCATTTTTTTTGTTTTAGTTATTGAAAGTACACATCTTAAGCTTTCTTTTGGTACAAAAAAAAAGAAAAAAAAGGGTCCTTCTAAAAAAAAAAACAAAAAATTTTTTAATTTAAAAAAAAAATGGTTAAATTTTGAAAATTTAAAAAAAAATTTTTCACCATTTGAAAGAGCGTAAAAAAACCTACCAAAAACATATAGGTCAAAATTTTTTTTGCTTTATTATATAGAAGCTACGATTTTTTAGAAAACTCACTGTTCATACTTATCCAAAATCTTCAACCCCCTCCCCCCTCTACAATTTGTTATAAAATTTCATAATACTTGGTGGTTGAAGTACTCATACATAGTACTAAATACTGTAAAAATATTAGCCCGATACAACAACTTGCAATTTTGACATTGGTACACTTGAGAAATTTTGCCCCATCTGTAGAATATGATACTACATTGTTAATTTAAAATTTGAAGTATAAATGTCTCTATAGCATACATAAGTGTAAGACCTCAAATACTACTAAACGCAGTTCAAACGATGCGCACGAGATCGATGTATTTTTTTGCTTATTTGGTAATAAAATTTATTGGCACTAATACACCATAACAAATAAATAAATTGTTTAATAATAATAACAATGTTAATAGTATAATAAACGATAAATATGGGAGTGTTTACAAATAATGTCAAGCAATTTTTTGAGATTTTTATAAAGCCCCTTTTGTGGGCCCTCAAAGATTTTCTCCTATGTGAGTTCAATATTTTCAAAAAATAGTATATTAAGCAACAAGGGTATAAAGGCAGACATTTGTTTACGGTGATTTTTGTGACACGAGTGGAGGTCGATGCCTTTATTCCCATGTTACTTACGATATTTTTTATTCCTAATGTACAAAAGTGGCTATTCAGATAGCAGACGACAGGGAATAAAAGTCAGTCACTTGTTCGACTTATATGAAAATGGCGGCCGTTTTCTCTCATGGGCAAAAATAATGCATGGGATCAGCTGTTATTTTTGCACATGGGAGAAAATAGACGCCATTCTCATATGGTCGAACAAATGAGTGACTTTACTCCCTGTCTTCAGCTATCTAAAAGCGCCATTTTTGTGCATGTGGGATAAAAAAAACTTTTGTTAAAAACTTGTTTTTATTTTTTTAATTATTAATTTTGAAGTAGTTAAAAATTACTTGAGGTTTGGACTTAGAAATTTTTGCAAATCAATGATGTGGGCGATTCATTAGGGGCACCCTGCGCCACTTATGGATTTGCCCTCATCGGCCCCCTCTTAGGTCCTCACGACTTGTCGGCTTGATGGGGGCCTTTACCCCACGGGTATTAGTAAAATTTTTACTTTATGTACATCAATTGATGAAAAACAAATTTTCCTAGATATTTTTATAAATTCTTTTTCTTATTTTAGATATTAGTGACCGTAATAAACATGAAAATTTGTATGACAATACGTCAAACGTCCGGGATCCCTTAAATATTATTTAAATAATTATTTATTAGAGGTATGCAAAAAGCCGGGTTTGATGAATCAAGTACTCTATTTGACTCTAGCTTTTAAATTAAAAAAAAATTATTTAAAAATTAAAGTAGAAAATTTCGGATTTACTCAAGAGCTCGAATAAAATCGAGTACCCGAAATTATACGAGCAGTTTATAAAGCTCGGCTCGAGCTCGAATTGTTTAGGCTCGGCTCAAAAAACGAAAAGCTCGAAAATCCTCGATCGAGATTCGAACTTTTTGAACACCTCTATTAATTATCCATAGTTAATCTATATTAACCCTTAAAGTAAATACACAGTGAGTACAGATTAGGGTGGTCCAAAAATACATGGGAAAAAAATAAAATCAGAATTTTAATGCTCTCACCACCTAGGATTGTTCTATATGGAGAAAAAAAATACCCTTATTTTTTTTAAATAAAAAAATATTTAGAGGTCGCACAAACCGCTCAAAGTTTCCCAGGTAAAATGCATGGGGAAATAACACTTTTTCGTAGAATTGGTATAGAATCCTTAAAAATCAATATTTTTCATTTAGCAAACTCTGTTTCTCTTCAGAAGACTTCAAAGAATAGTGCTAAATTGTTTATTTAATCATTTTTTTAAATTAATTATTTTTTATAGTGCCCCAAAAAATTACAATTTCACCAGTTGTTTAAACAAATTGTTATTTTAAATTTGAAGCTATCGCAGTAGTAATTTCAATGATGTAAATAAAAATTTGTGTACTTAACATTTTTATAAAAATAAATTTATTGTTCACAATTTTTACTCGAAAATTAAGTCTTACATTAAATATTACCTCACAAAAAAAATAAAATGTACAATTAAGAAAAAGTTGCAACTCTGTAGCTCATTTTGATAAAAATTGGAAGTTAAACAATAGTAATTTGATTAAACAATTGCTAAAATTAATATTCTCTGATAGTGACTGGTTACATTCGGTCTAAAAAGTTGCAAAATTAAAAAAAAATCGCAACTCTTTAGCTCAATTAGATAAAAAGTTGTAAATAAACAATAATAATAATTTGTTTAAACAAATTAGCAATTATATGGAATAATGTTTAAAAATCAATATTTGGGTTATTTATTCATAATCTAGGAAAAAACTTTGATAAAAATAGTAATAAATATTTTTTTACGACTTTTTTATAATTTTGAAATTTATGGGTTTTTTTTTTGGGCACTATAAAAAATAGTTAATTTAAAAAAATGATTAAATAAACAATTTAGCACTATTTTTTGAAGTCTTCTGAAGAGAAACAGAGTTTGCTGAATGAAAAATATTGATTTTTAAGGATTCTATACCAATTCTACAAAAAAGTGTTTTTTCCTTATGCATTTTACATGGGGAACTTTGAGCGCTTTGACCCACCTCTAAATATTTTTTTATTTAAAAAAAAATTGGGGTATTTTTTTTCTTCATATAGAACAATCCTAGGGGGTGAGAGCATTGAAATTCCGATTTTACTTTTTTTGGACCACCCTAGTATACAGATCGCCCAGGTGTTTTGTTCAAATACGTTCCATTCTTAAAAACATGTCATTGTTTATAGTTAAATATTTTTTAGCAAATTAATTTTATATCAGCAAAACTATATTTTTCATATATTTCTCAAAATATTTCCTATCGATTAAATTAAATTTAAATAAATAACTTAGCCTTTTAAAAACAATAAATAAGAACAGAGAAACATTTTTTTTAAATTTGCTTATTAAAAGAAAAATTTACTTCCTTTACTCAAATAAATGATATCTTAAAACCAAAGAAATATTTTTTTAATTAAAAAAAATGATAATAGTGAAATAATTTATTTAAAATAAAGAAACATTTTTCTAGTTGTACAGTTTGTCTTTGGTATTAATTATTAATTTTTTTAGTTACAAATTTTTACTTGATTACATTTATTCTTTATAAACTGTTCTTATTAATTTTTTTATTTATCA